GCTCTGAGTTAATGATGCTTTACGAACATCCACCAGCTCTGAGTTAATGCTGCTTTACGAACATCCACCAGCTCTGAGTTAATGATGCTTTACGAACATCCACCTGCTGAGTTAATGCTGCTTTACGAACATCCACCTGCTCTGAGTTAATGCTGCTTTACGAACATCCACCAGCTCTGAGTTAATGATGCTTTACGAACATCCACCTGCTCTGAGTTAATGATGCTTTACGAACATCCACCTGCTCTGAGTTAATGATGCTTTACGAACATACACCAGAATCCCAAAGGGCAGTGGATTCCTCCTGTTCAGATTATTCCCAACAAGAAGCTATTAGTTTTATCAGAGTTCTTTGGCACCTAATTCCTCAGCCTCAGGCCTTGCTAAAAAAAAAAAAACTTGCTGTTGAGTCGATTCTGACTCCTAGCAACCCTGTAGGACAGAATCGAACTGCCCCATAGGGTTTCCAAGGCTATAATCTTCACGGAAGCTGACTGCCACATCTTTCTCCTGTGGAGGTGCTGGTGGGTTCGAACCACCAACCTTTCGGCTAGCAGTTGAGCACTTAACCACTGCACCACCAGGACTCCCTGGGTATAAAAAAGACCCTAAAATTTCTGTAACTAGTTTTATCTGAATTAGTGAGAAGAGGGAAACAGGTTGAGAGACACACAGGCACACACACAAGTATATCACCTAACTACTAAGGAATCTACAAAGAACCTTTCATTTTATTTCAAATAGCTATCATCCCTCCTTACGCCAAAATAAATTCCACCTGAAAAAAAACTGAGAATACAAGAATAGTCTTATAATCTTGCTGTGAGGTAAAACCTTCTAAATATGGTATCAACATCAGAAAATAAAGAAAGAGTAATTTTCACATGCCACCCCACCCCTCCCCCCAAAAAAGGAAAAAGAAACCAAGGTACAAAGAGCACATCGGGCAGCGTCACTGTCACTAATGAGGCATGTTTCCTTAGTCATCTATAAGGGAAGGTCGCCCAGTAGACGAAATATTGTCAAATAAACTGATCGCTTCACTAATACTAAAAAAGGAAATAAAGTAAATCTATTTCTGTTTCATCACAATGGCAAACATTTCAGATTAATTATATATTTTTGGCATGAAAAACTGTCAATAACATGCCTTCAATGAAAAAAAAGTTACAGAACAGGTATAATATGATTTCAAGTTTAAGAATAAAATGTTATTACAGAGACAAGACTGGAGGAGGGTCATTCATCAATATGTGAATAGTGGTGGGATTTCACCAGATGATAAAAGTAAAATCACCTGAATTTAAATGTCATTTAAATCAATGCCAAAAAGAAAATGAGGGGGCACACTGCCCAGAGATCTACACCAAGAAACAGATCAACAAGCAGAGTAACCAGCATTCAGTAGGCCCCACCCCCTGCCGATAGAAATGAAGCCTGTTCATTTCACTAATGAAAACAAGTCATTTCATTTACATAGAAAGGAGGGGCACCAAAAGCACCATCCATGAAAGAAAACATTGATACACTGGCCTTTATTAAAACTAAAAACTTCCTCTCTGCAAAAAGACACGGGTAAGAAAATGAAAACACAATCCCTAGGCCAGGAGAAGATATTTACAAATAGTGACTAAAGACTTAACTATTACAAACGTATGTGACAACCTCGCTGAAGGGCGTGGAGGAAAGGTGCTGACCTAGGCAATGGAAGTGAGCGGAGCCTGTAAGACTAAAGGCAAAAAGAACTGTCCCTAAGCACTGTACCCTAGTTGATAACGTTTCCCACGGGGTATAGATAAACAACTTCAATACTGCTATACGTGTAGACTGGAACTGAACAATCAAGTTAACTGGATGGCAGGAGTGGAGTTTACAGACAAGCCAGGGGAGGAGGCGAGAATGGTCCATGTGGTAATGGATCAGAGTTGGAAACACCAGTATGAACTCCTGTTTTGCTCAATACAGACACAAATGGATATAGAAATATTTACTGATGTGTATATACATGAGTTTATATACACCCATATTTTCTTGCTCTCAGTTGAGAGGGCCTAAAAGTAATGACACCCCAGGAGCAATGAGCACACCCAGCACCCAAATCTTGGTCTCAGGTAAGTACTCTCTAATAAAAGGTACCAGGGACCCTCGAAGAAGTGGCCAATGCCAGGACTAGGGGAAGAAATACACAAGATGAATCTGGGGCAGCGTGTAGAGCCAGAAAGTACAGAATTACGAAACAGAACAGCCCACAGTGATAGGGTACATCAAAAGGATGCAGGGGTCAACTGAAAGAGCTGCCAGTGGCCAAAGCAGGAACAATTTGAACAACACCCAAAAAAGTAACACTAGAGTAGTACTGGATTATAACCAAAGTATAAGATATCCATGAGTCCAAGCTGATGTTAATAAAGGATTGACTAAATATGGGAGAATAGGCAAATCTCCCCTGCAGAAGAATTCCAAATAATTTCTGCCCTCAGGGAGGAGAACTTCAAACTCTTAAGAACTTTAAGTTCTGTGCACCATTTTTCTGCACACCAATCTGAAAACTCACCTAGGGTGGGACTGTTTTTCTGCTCTTCCTGAGAGGGCACTATGGAAGGGGGAGACTTCACAGTGGAGAAACCTGGCAAGCACACCTCAGCCAGGTGTGGAAGTCATTGGGCAGTGTGTAACCTTGACATGACATGATGAGAATGCACTTTCCCTCTGTGATCTTCCTCTCCGAAACCCACAACCTTAGTCTAATCAGGGCAAAAACTAAGGAAATCGGAAGACAATATAATATGGACTTTAGTTATATGATCAACGTGTCAGTATTGGGTCAGTAATTGTGACAAATGTACCACACCGACGTTAAGATGTTCATGAGAAACTAGGTGTGCATCATGTGGGGAACCCTCTGTGCTATCTTCACAATCGTTCGTAAATCTAAACTATTCTAAAATAAAACGTTTATTGTTTAAAAACCAAATATGAAAGGGAGGGCAACTAATTAAATAAATTTTTGCAGAAAAATGGCTGTGGAAACAAACTATCCACAACATCCAACCTGGTACATGATTTTATCCGTACATATGGTACAACTATTTTGATCGTTCTATTTCAAATACATGATTTTCCCAGGCTATACTGTCATGAGACAACACTGCCTCCCGACAACCTGGGACGAGAAACGGAAACTTACGGTAGCAGTTCTCTGCTCATCAAACTTTGAAAGCTTCTGAAGTTCCCGATAGACTGTCCCAAGAGGTGCATATTCCAGGATTAGGTAAACTCTGGTGGCATCATGGAAATAACCATACAGCCTGAGAATGTTAGGATGCCTGCAACAAAGGACAAATACACTAACATCTGGTTTGGGAGCTGATATAAAACAAACATCTCATGTGAAAACCAGTGGGATTTCTAACTGGTTTTGGTCATGAACCACCCCCACCCCCCCACCCTCCACTCAAGATTCTGAAGCTATAGACCTATTCCACAGAAAAATACATATACCCACATATCGTTTTCCATGCAATTTCAAGGTATTCATGGACCTCAGGTTAAGATTATCGTAGGTACCTCCTGCTTTTCGAAAGTCTGCTTTACGCCACTTCGCTTTTACGGAAGACCTACATTAGTACCTGTTGTCAATAACCGAAAGAAATTTGGAGAGGATTTTCGCTTTTACGAGAAAGGTGAAAAGCAGAAATAGTGTTCATTTGCTTTGCAAGGAGCCGTTAAAGAGGCAGCGCACCCCGACCAGCGAGAGTAGCGACGCCAAGCTCCCTCCCCGGGAACTACACCCGGCATTCCTGTTTTACTCTATGTTAGTGTTCTGTTAGGCTGTGTGTGTTATCTGGTATGATTTGGCAGGTTGTTTTTCGGGTCTGGGAATGCTCAAAAACATCTCCCACGTAAGTTAACAGTAATTGCTTCTTAGTTTTACACCATTTCAGCTTACGAAAGGTTTCACAGGAACACTCCACATTTGGATAGTGGGGGAAACCTGTTTTTCCTTCCTTTAGCCATCTTTATTTATTCGTAGGGGGAATATTCAGTTAAATGTTAATTGTCCACAAATGTGGAAAAAAAAGGACATGGCATCTCCGAACACTATGAGACAGACAACGTATAAGCAGTGTTCAATGACGGCCGTGGATTTGTGCTGCCAGGCAGGCTGGGCGAGGGCTACAGGGGGCTGGAGAGCGTGGTCTGAGACGCTGCCCCTCTCAACTCCAGCCCGTTGTGGCCATGCATGGATATGGCCCTGGCAGCCAGATTTTTACGTATTAGCAACTCAAATTGTTAAATGCTGTGAAAGCAAAAACAAAGGAAAAAACAAAAAAATCCAGAGGCCTGAATCAACGGGCAGGCTGCCCATCTGCACCCTCTGCTTACCTCAGAATGAGAGGTGTGATTCCCCTTAGTAACCCACCAAAAAATACAAAACACGTTTGCTCAAGTAAATTACTTCGTTAACGAAACATTAACTCTGCAAGTGCTTTTTCAGGACCACAACAAAAAGGTCCAGATAAACCTCTGAAAAATCACAAACTTAATTACTCTTTGTGGTCCTAAGACACTGGCACTCTAAAAAGAGCTTTACAATCTTTTAATTCTCAGAGCTTTCAGTTCTGCACGCCACTCCTGTGAGCTCCAATCTGAAGACTTACCTAAGGTGCGACTGTATTTCTACTTCTCTTCTCACCTGATGTTCAACTCCTGCTTTCTCTAGCTGAGCTTTAAATAATACTTTAAGAGCCAGGATAAACTTGCTTTGTTTTTCTCTTGCCAGATAAACATTGCCAAATTTTCCTTTACCCAGCGGGCGGCCAATTTCAAAATCTTCCAAAGCCCACTGCCTTCTAGGAAAGAATGTGAACATTTTAAAATGTGAAGAAAATAAATCTTTTCCAACAATTTGTCAGTGATAGTGTTAGACACATTCTAGATCTGCACCCTAAGAACCAAGCCATCATCACGATGACTGAGTCTCCACAAACACGTGCCACCCTGCTCCCCCAGCTGCCATCAGCTACACGAGTCCGTGATGAGCAACAGTCTCTGACTTTTTGAGCTGATACACTGAACAGGAAACGCCCCAGGGCTGTCCCATGCTCGGGAGTAAAGACCTACTAACAACACAAAGCTCGAGGACGTAAAAGAGGATTCGACAAGCCACTGGAGAGGGAGGAATGCTCCAGAACCATCTGCGAGCCTCTTTCGAACTAACTACATCCTCTTACTCCATCCAGAGATGCTAACACTCTCGGGCTGAGAACCTACCCTGGGGGAGGACACAGAGCCACTGTTATTGATGGGAGCAGGCTGGATCCCACAGGGCAGTTGAGGTCGAGACCCATTGGATTTAGAAGCAAAAAAGTCTTGGTGTGGGTTCATTCCTGGCTCCTCCTACTATGTTCTAGAGTCTAGCCAGTCAGAGACTGAGAGCAGGCTGTTAGACAATTTCTGGGGAAGATGTGATAACAACCTTGTAATAAACAATATACAATAGTTGTATCAGTAGTGTCAAAATAATGGCAGTCCTACGCAGCGTGTATACAGTTCTGCAACATGACCGCATATCTGTGTCTTAAGAACTTGCACTTTTGTATAAGAACAGAAAGAAGTCTCGCAGCACACACAAACCACATATGCTGGTTACTTTTGAGGGTAGAAAAAGCTTTTAGTTTACACATTTCTGTGTGTAACGGATTCATACAAGCTTTTCCTAAATTTGAAAAGCACAACTTCTGAGTCCCTAGTAAACATCCATTGTTAAAAAAAAAAAAAATTTCCTCTCTTTTATAAAGATTAGAAACCTGGAAAGTCTGATAACCAGTTTTCTAAATGAAAATATAAAGACCTATTTTTTTTAAAGAGTTCCCATAACTAAATTTACAATTAAAGGTGTATTCTAGAATGACTGTAGTGAATTTTGCAAATAAGATAAAGCTTACTTTTTTGATTCTTCTTTTTTCTGTTTTGATGCCAGTTCCTCTCCAGAATTATCTCCTATGTAGAATAAATTGGAGAAAAAAAAAAAAAACAAGGTTTGTTTTTGTATCATGCACAGAGATGAATTAATGAACAATCCCCACAACTTTCACAGTGTTTGTCAACAGTGGTCTATCCGGGCTACTCTGTCTTTATGCTTTGAGAGGAAAGACCACTGCACTCTAACCTGAACCCCACAACATGTGACGTCTTCACGGAATTCCTAGAGTCAAGTGGGGCAGATACGTACATAGTTAGGTACATAAACTGCTGATGATTTAAAGACTGGAGACCACACGGATTCTCTCAAATGCCTCAGCTTGTTTCCATGTGAAGAGTACTTCTACAGCAGAATTACCAGCCATCCCATCCATGACCAACTTACGCCTTGTCACTTTCCCCACTAGGTGGGCCAGCCAACTGTCCACACGCCTCCTCTCTAATCACGCCACATAAAAATTATCAATGATGTGTGTAACAAAACATAAGCCAGGACCCTCCTTCCACTCAACTGGTTGGAAGGGGAAATACAGAAACAGAAGCCATGGACTCAGAATATACAATCAAGCCACTGCAGAGCAGGGTCCAGACTAACTCTCGGTATCCCCATGGGCAGATGTGTACACGGGACACTTCCCGTTATTTCTGACACTTCTTCAGACTCTCAGCCTACTATCAGCGTGCCCACC